TGCTAGAAAAACAGAATCAGAAAAACAACAGCACAAAAAAAAACCCTACTATTTCTAGTCCATTTTTTATTACTGCTATGTTCAACAGACATAAATTTCCCTCTCCAGTTGGCATAAATCATCCTAAAAGCACACTCTACTTCCTGTATCAACCTCATCATTGACTGGGACTCGGAATTGCCAGATGAGATCCAGCCTATGAAACACACTGGCCTAGCCCCTACTAAACAGATAGGTCTATAGGTTGGAAGCTTCCAGAAGGATGCTAGACAAAGATCTACCCACCCCCACATCTCCTGAATAAGAACCTATATGAATAACTGGTCTTAATATATTCTGATGTGGAGGGAAGGTTTGTCTAGAGACTGTTCAAGAGTATGACAAATTCGAAGACATCCCTCAGCTCCTGGTAGCCAAGGAGACATAAAAACACACAGGTGAACACCATTCCTCAGCTCCCTGCCAACTGGTAAGCTTGGGTCTTTCTCTTTTATTATTTCCTTTGGTCCTTTTGTGTCTGAAGTAAAAGAAAGCTAGGTGAATCCTCAGCAAGACTCAGGACTGAGGTGAAGGTTTAGGGGGTAAAGTCCTTACCATGCAAGTGTGAGTTCAGACGCCCAGAATGCATGGGAATCTGGATGTGATAGCATGCAACTGTAACCATCAGAACCTCTAAACACACAGGAACACACACACACACACACACACACACTCCCTTTGCTAAAGATTCTAGAACCCTCCTAAAGAACCTAAGAGTCACCATGATGCTAAAATCTTTATCCTTTGATGAGCTTGGTATTTGAGGTATGATTTACTGGCTCTGTCCTCTACTGCATCTTACAATGTCAGTCATACCTTACATACACCATATGAAACAGTATTCCCTGTCTTAGGATGATTTTAGATAGAGATCGAGAACTTTCAGACATAATTCTCTCTATATTGGCTCTATTAATAGTCCCCTGAAGCTGGAAATAACCAAACACTGCACGAACCAGTGAGTGGGTCCACAGCCCATTTACTAGAAGGCAGCCACATGACAACTGCTGATTCACTAAACAAGGGTGAACTCTGGGTACCCACAACCACATGGATAAACCAAGCACAATATGCAAAGTTAGAAAATCCAGATGCAAAAGGAAACAGCTTTGAACGGGTCCATTGTTACAGGGTCTTGGGAAAGTAAAAACCATAGTACTGGGAAAGGAAGACTTTTTGCAAGGGTTTCTGGATGATAGGAATTTCAGCAGCGTGTGAGAGGGAACTATTATCAGGTGGAGGAAATGCTATCTGCTTTGAATATGAGCATTTTCCCCCCTAAGGGACTGTACTTGTTCCCAGCAGGTTAGCTTGTGTTGTTATCGGGGGAAGACTGAACCAGGGAGATGGCTCAGCAGGTGAAAGCCCTTCCACACAACCCTTCCCATCTGCGTTTGATCCCTGGACCGCATGTGAGAAAAGCTATGAGGATGTTTTTGTAGCTTCCTGCTTTTGCCAAAATTCATAAGCTTCTTTACATTGTCTAAGTGATTCTTTAACATATGCCACACACATAAAAATCTACAAAAATAAACAAAAACAGTGAATCAGTTAACCACCTAAGAGTATGACATACTGTTGATTAATCTAAAAGCTGGGTCATTAAAGAACAATATAAATAAGCACATGAAGGATCAAAGTTTAGCATCATGGTAATTAAGGATGATAGTTTTTGCTGGCATTATTTTTCTGCCACAAAATCAGTTTGTCCATACTTGGCCACTATGCTTTTAAGAAAAGCTCCTTACAATTTCTACATATGACTTCTGCTGTCAACAATAATGTTAGCAGTGGCATGGACTCCAGACCCGCCTGTGGTATTTTAATTATTTTAAACCTTAAGTTATCCAAAGCCCACTTCTAATACTGATGTAATGCTGTATCCTTCCTCAGCTTACAAAATCCTCTTTTACAGGGACCTATATCTGTGGGCAGCATTTCTACCCAGTATACCTCAATTGGAACTTGGCTGGAACACCACAACTTTAAGTGTGCAGATTTCCACATGGTGAAGAGGAGTGAGATTGTTCTGCAGCCATTGCTCTTCCAATAGGAACATTTTTACAAAGGACTTCATGTGGAAACTCGTCCTTGGGCTCTGCTACAGTGTGAGTATGAAGTGTCTTCCCCAGAGGCCTGGGTTGGAGGATAGGTGCTTACTTAGAATCAATCAGTGGTGGGGAATGGATTAGGGGGGTTCTGACTTGTTCAATGACTTCATCCATTGATGTAATCATAATTTGTTGGTGTTATTGGAAGATGATGAAAACTAAGGAGAACCTAGGTGGAGGAGTAGACTGTGGTGGGTGGACCTTTAAGGATGCACTTGGTCCCCAGATTTCTCCTCTCTCTTCCTGACTCCTCTCTGTCTCCATCTTTGTGCTTCCTGACACCATGAGGTAAACAAGCTTGCTCCACACCTCTCTTCTTTGACTTTTCACCTCACTGTAGCATAAAAGGAAGAGGGCCAACTGACCACAGACTGTACCTCCTGAAACCAGAAGCAAAAATACCCTCCCCTATTCAAATGATTTCTGTCAATGTGCTTTGCAGCAGCTTTGAAAACCTGCCTAATACAGGGACTCATGGGGAAATGACCTCACCTCACAAACCATAGGAGGCAAAAGGACCAAGTATTCAATAACAGCTTAACAAATCACAAGTTAATTAGCAGGCCTCAGAATACTACAAAGAACATATACATCTATATTGCCAAGATTGCTTTCGTCAGTATCCCCTTATTCGTACTGTTTAACTTCCAGTTTCCCAATGTCAGCAGGTTAGACACTTTGACCCTAAAATCTTTGGCACATGACAGACTAGTGTACTGTTAGATACCTGCTACCATATTGGACCTCTCCCCCAGACGATGCTAATAGCTTACATTCCAGAACTATGACAACCAAAACATATCAACTAGGAAAGAGCAGGGAAAGCTTGCCTGGATGGAGACTCATTCTAAGTCAAAAAAAATTTTTTTAATTAAATTTAAAAGTGTAGACATTGTTGCATTTATATGTGTACTATGATTTGTTTCTCTCTGTGCGTGCATCTGTGCGTGCGTGTGTGTGTTTAACAATTCAGCAAGAAAGGTAGGTAAGGAAATTCTAAGGATTGGGGCTGGAGAGATGACTTGGAAGTTAGGAGTACTTGTGGAGGACCCAGGTTTATTTACTAACAACATGTGGTTGGTCACAACCGGTAACTCCATTCCAGTAGATCTGAAGTTCTTTTTCAGACTCTGCAAGCAACAAGATTAATTTGCTGTGTATGCACACGCGTGTGCATACATACACACATACATACACACACACGCACAAGATCCCATGCAGATGCATGCACACAAAACACTCACACACATTCAATAAACTCTTTTTTAAAATAAAATCTTTCTTTGAAAGAAAGAAAGGAAGAATCAAAGAAAGACAAAAGGAAGAAAGAGAGGGAGGGAGGGAAGGAAGAAGGAGGAAAGTCTAAGGGATTAAATTAGTAGTGACCTCAGTATAAGCTCACCTGATTCCCAGAAACTGTGGCATGGTACATGTAGTAAGAAAGGAAGCCTGGCTGGTTGCTGCAGCATTTTGATCTAAGCATGCAGTGACGGGGCAGGTGATCTACAAAGGCACTTCTCTGTCGCCACAAAATATCGTTGTACTCTCTGGATGCATGCTGACTTTACGACCTCATCTCTCTGCTCATAATTTTTTCCCTCCAGGAAACATCCTTATGTCGGCTTCATATGAGTGTGGGATGGAGGCAGGGGTAAGGCTGATGAATGCCAGAAATGGTGGCTAGAATAGCAGCTTTATAGAATGCATATGTAATGTTTATGGGCCAGGAACATCTTTGCCTTTTTAACTAAGCAACTTTGCTACGCATCTCTCTACATCAACCGAATGTCACATCTTTCCTTCTTATGTGGAACTCCCGCAATAAAATTGTATTTTAGGGTGCACATTTAATGCAAACAAATATTTTTTTCTATTTCCATTTTAATTTCTGCAACTACTAAAAGCATCCATAATGAATGCATCTACCTCTGCAATAACTGATTTTGAAGAGGAAGTGGTTAAGAGTCTCTGTTCAGACTTTGTTGACTCCCCTTGGGTGGCTTTATCCTCTCTGGGGAGTGGATGGGGATGGGGAGAAGGTTGGGAGAGCTGGAGGAGGAGAGGGAGGAGGAACTGGGATTGGTATGTAAAATAAGAAGATTGTTTTAAAATTCAAAAAGAAAATCTCTGTTCTTTTCATTAACCAATGAAAAACAAATATGTGGGGGGGACATGCACTGTGTGTATGTGTATATGTGTGAGATGAACTATTTCTAAATTTCAATGTCCAACTTTAGAATGGTAACATTTGAATATACAAAGCAGAAGTCCAATTTTTGAAAGTCAATTCACAGACATATAAACTGAAAAAGAATAGAGATTAAAGGTTGAAATATACATCTGATCAAACTGACATCTGCTTCGATTGATGTTCTTATCCTACCCCAGGCTTACCGGTAGGAAGTACACATGAATTCCTAACCATTTTGATGGCACTGATTCTTCCTCAGCAAACACAGATATGGAAAAATGCAGGAACACTGGAATGCATCTATGGACCAATCAGTTGGGCAGCCAATGGTTTCTTTACCTTTCCCAAGGCAAAGATGGGTGGTGGGAGGAGACTCGCAGCCAAACCTCATGATCTGAGTTGATTCCTTGGTACTCACATGTTGGTAGGTGAGAACAGATTCTCTCAAGTTATCTTCTGACCTCTACATACATTTTGCAGCCCATGTCCCTCCCTCCACCCTACACACATCCGTATGCATACAATGAACGTCATTAACAATTCATTACATCTCGTGGGATTTCTTGACAGAGTTCTGGTTCAATTACCCTGTGATAGACACACACTGCTTAAGCAAACAGACTTTCTTCTGGTTAAGTTCACACATTGGGACCACTTACTGTCTCCCCGGCAGAGCAGAGGTCCCAGTTTATAGGCAGCTTCTGAATGGGGACGTCCTGTGTCCGTAATTACTATCTTAGTGACTGGCAGATGTTCTTTATAGGAGAGGAATCCAGTGTCATTGGTCCTAAAAATAAGCAAGAGCAGCAACGAAATCCTTCAATTATGATGATGAGCGGAATTCTAAATTAAGCCATGATTTTCCTGGCACTTCTAAATGAAGACATTCCTGCTAAGTTTGGACCGTGACAAAATAAAATCCAATCACTCATCTTAGCATATGAAACATGGTGAGATGTTAGCTAGTCTCTCTTATAGACATTAAAGTCTAGACTACAAAATATAACGTAGGTTAAGATTAGAATACAATGACTTTTTGGGTGGAGACCTTCCTCCTGGCTCACCGGCCCTCTCTCATTCTAGGGAGTGCTCATCCATGGGCTAGTGGTAGGTTCTAGATCAGGGATAGTCATTGTCTTCATTGTGTACCCACTACGAGCTCACCAGGATCTCATGAAGAGTTCCAAACTCATGGACACACAGATGGCCCTGGTTAAACTCAGCAGTCATGAAATAAAAGGAAAGTGGAGAAAGGGCTTCCTTGTGAGGAGAGGGGTTGACAGGAGGAAGCACGGAGAACAATCAAAATGCAGAAAAGGCATGTAAGAAAGCTCAAAGAAGGAATTTAGTTAAAAATAAATAAATAAGGTGTCCATATCACTATTTCTAAAGCAGACAAAAGTTTAGAACAGTGGCTCTATTTTTTAATCAGGTGGAAGGTTTTTAATCATTTTGGTGAAATGGCTAATTTTCTGACTCTTGGTGTGCTGATTTTTAGGCAAAGTTGCTTAGTATTCATTCATTTTTTCCTCTTATGATTTATTTACATTTTTGCTTTGTTTTTTGCTGTTCTTGTCTTGTACTTATTGATCAACTCCACATTCCTCTATAGTCAACCCTATCTTCTCTATTCATTCTTCAGATAAAACTTTGTTCACTGAATTTTACTATTTCCTTAAATGGGTCATAAAGTGCACCCATGACTTTTGCAGTCTACTTAGATTTTATACTCTATACCAATGTGTAGTATCAGAACCTCTCCATGAGATTGTTTAACAGTCCTATATGCACAGAAATACACACACAAACTTTTTGTGATATTAGGGCAATCTACTTTAAATGTATATTGTAAACTTTGCGACGTAACTAAACAGAGAAATTTACTTTTGTATTTAAGGAACATTGGATAATTCATAATTTCTAGTGTTCTTCATTTCTTCCTAAATATCTGAGTTTTCTTCTGAATGTTATTTTCTTTTATCCCAGAAAATTTGTTACAATTATTTTCATTTACAATATTAATTTGCCATTCTAAAATGTGCACTCGGTACCTTACTGTAGTTCACTTTTATTTACATTAAATTCCCTATTCACTCACTGTGGATATTTTTACCTTTAGATTTTCAAACATGTTGATAATGTTAGCCTTAAAGATTTCAACTACAAATTTTAAAAGGTGGCCAAGACTTTGTTTACAACAACCTCACTCAACGTCTTGATTTTATCTGGATGTGTACTTTCTTGAAATATCCAGGAATGTGATAGTGTTCTCGATAATGTAGGTGGATGAGTCAAGAAATACTAGATTTTATTTTTTTCCTTCAACTTTTTTTTTCTCATGGGTATTTAAGTAGAAGCCTATGATTTCTGCCTTCCCAGGGTTCTCTACGGCTGCCTCGCTCTGGATTTTCAGTCTTCCCTCTCAATTTGAGGACCATGGTCTTTGCAGTAAAGACGTGAACTTTTGATACTCTTGTCCTAAACTAAAGTATTTTCAAAGCAAATATCAGAGACTTAACAGCCCTCTCCGATTCACATGCCCTTTGAAAGGTTGAGGACCCAGCACAGGAGCTATGCAGCAGACTCGTTAAAAAGAGCCTTCTTGTTTCTAGAAATTACCCTCTCCTTCAACTCCCAGTCACTCTGAACTACCCCAACTCTGCCTCCTAATACATTTATAAAAATAAAAATAATACAGAATTCCCTTGGAGTTTAGGCTCCTAATGGCAAGACACAGCTGGTGCTTTGAAGGAAATGAAATTTAAATCTAGGTCCCATTCTCCCTGGTTCTTTTCTTTCAACCAATCCTGGAAACCCTTATTGAAGTTTGATTCTACCACTCTTCCTTCAACACACACACACACACACACACACACACACACACATTAAGATTTATCATTTGTTTTAATTCTATGTAATAAGTATTTGTTTTGATGTATGAAAGCCCACCACAAGTGTTCCTGGTGCCCTTGGGGGCCAGAAGACAGCAATGTATCCCCGGCACTAGAGTTAGTTAGTAACTACCAGGTAGACACTTGGAACTGAACTTAGATGGTCTGCAAGAGCAGCAACTGTTCTTAACTCAAATATTTATTTATTACATTTGTTATTATTATTATCATTACAATATTCATCTGTTTAAACTCTGTTTAGGAAATGCATGCCTTGGCATGTGTGTGAAAGTCAGAGGACAGCTTGCAGCAATTGCTTCTCTCCTACCTCCTCGTGAGTCACAAGGACTGAAGTCGGGTCACCAGATTTAACTACAAGTGCCCTTATCTGGTGAGTCCTCTCTGTAGAGCCCCAGATACTTATTTTTGTAATATTTCCTGAGTCTGTAAAATCATAGTTTTGTGTGTCTGTGTATACATATAGACGTATATGATTCTTCACCTATAAACTGAATGGAATACGAGATGTTTTAAACTCTGTTTTTTTTTTTTTTTAAACAAACTAGTTTTAATTAGCAATGTGTTGTGAAGACACTTAGGGGTTATCAGTGGTGTTTATGTTAATTTTTTGTTGTTGTTCAGCAATATTAATAACATTTTTACCCATTTACAATGACAGTTTTCAGTATGTGAAATTTTTCTGAATATATTAAGAAAACAGTTATTATTCAAAGGGAGTAAATATCAGTTCTTACAGAATTCCATACAATGTTTTTGATCATATTCACCCTTCCTCCATGTTCTGCCAGACCACCTCCTTCATTAATGTAAAATTTGGGTGAGGGAAATGATACTCTTTTTTTTCTTTTTATTAAAAATTTCCACCTCCTCTCCTCCTCCCATTCCCCTTTTCCTCCCCCTCCTCCCCCTCCTCCATCCTCTCCAGTCCAAAGAACAGTCTGGGTGAGAAATAATATTCTACCTATAAAAATTCAATCAGAGCTCTATGATTCCTTATAGGTTCTGCTTAGAAAAATAATTTAGATTTTGAAATTCCTAAATTTCATAGATTTTGTTTTGAAGATATTATCCATATAACATTTGTTTTTTTCTGGTATACTTTATTCTTTAAAAATATAAAAGGAATACATGCTAAAACAATTGCTCAGAACTATAATAATTCAAAATCTACAAATTTTTGCTTCTGAAGTTTTCAGCCTATGTTAATGAGATGTGCTTTGGCAATTGGTTACATAATACTGCACAAATAGAAAGGGCTGTTATTTACACTGAAAGGATCCGTGGAGAATCACAACTCTCATGTCATAGACACATTGGTTTTCTCATACAATAAAAATAAAATAAAATATGTGGTCCACTGTTAAAATAGCTTCTGAAATCTTGCTGTCTTAACCTGTAGAATTGGAATGACTGTACCACGTATCATCCAAACATAGTTCTACCTAATTCTTCCCTCGAATCAAAGGGTTTAACATTCACCTAGCTGTATAGCCTTGATGTAATTGAAAGGAAAGTTACCATTCGCTCCTGTCCGCATCGCAGTTGCAGTGATACTGAGCATCGATGCAGTTGCCTTCCAAGCCACAGGTGCACTTCTGGGGCACAGGCAGGGAACCTCCCCAGTAGGTCTGTGTTTCATTGGTTCTTCCCACCCACCAGCTCCGAGGGCTTCCATCTGAAAGACAAGTGGGAGGGATGAATCATCTTCCTCCCTCTTAGAGCATTGTTCCTTCTTCCTTAGTCATTAAAAGCAAAGGTGGCCTTGAGGAGTCAGAGGGAGGAAAGGAGACAGAGACAGAGAGAGAAAAAGAGATGGAGACACACGGAGAGGGAGGAAGAGACAAAGACACAGACAGAAAGGGACTGATTCGGTGCAGTGATGCCCTCAGCACTGTAACTGACAGCATTTGGGAAGAAAATCTTACAAAACACTTGAAGTCCCTTTTTTAAAATGCCAGTTTATAATCATTAAAAATCATTATGTACTCATTCTTCATGAGTAAGTGTCCGTGCCTGCACAATTGAACATACATCCTATGCATGCAGGTGCCCAGAAGGGGACATCAGAGCCTCTGAAACTGGAGATGCAGTTCATTGTGAGCCACCTTATGTGGGTGCTAGGAACTGACTAGGTCTTCAGTGCGTGCTCTTCGCTGCTCAGCTGGCTCTCCAAGCCCTTATTGTCAGTCCTAGATGAACGATACATTGTTCTTTAAATAGAAACCATCAGTCCACATTTAATCATGAGAGAGAGTTCTCACAACATTTTTTTAAAATAATATTTAAAAGAATTTGGCATCAAAATATGAACTGTGGTAATTAATATAGTGAAATAAAATTGATTCTAAGTCACAAAACACCCATCCAAGCATTCTGGAATGCTATATAAAGGCACTGATTTGTCTCCATATATTTATTGGTTAAAATATACTAGCTGTTTATTAGACATCAGGCATGGAATAGCAATCCTTTGTCATGATTTAGTATTTATCTGGAAGTCTGTATTTTCTCTTCCATTTACTGTCTTGGCTATTTATTTGAAGACTAGAGAAATAATACTGAAAAATCTTCATGCCTGAAGTGAATATTACAGTTAAAAAAAAAGTTTCCCCCAGCTAAACACATCTCTTTCTACGATAAATGTTCAGCTACCAGCTCCTTCCCAGAGCCAAGACTAAACAGGATGCCAAGGAATTCAAGCAAGGAGAAGACAGAACATTTAGCGGAGGATTTGGGGAAAGGGAGGTGAGGCATGCAGGCAATCCATCTCAGGGAAGAAAAAAACGTTCTAAGGAAAAGAATCATAGTGTCTGGAGACACAGAGCAAAAGAAGAATACAAGCAATCTCAAATAGCTCAGCTTCCTTTTAAGTAGCGGTCATTTTCCTCTTGACTTTCAAATCTTTATGTAGTCGCCATCATTCCCACAGGGACTCTGCAGCTTTTCCTCATTCATACGTTACTCGCTAATACAGCACCTATTTTAACCTACTATTAAGTAGACCTTCTGCGAATACTGACGGCTTCTCTCCCAGCATCAATACAAACACCCACCATGTTTAAGTGGAGAAAAAAGGGGGGGGGGGTTAGGAAGCTTGTGTTATGTGATGCTGTTAACCTCAATACTCTACCTCTAGCTTGATTAACTTACAACTCATCAACAGTTAAGCCTACTTGAAAATTTTTCTAGGAATATTAAGGCACACTGCTTAAAATATTTTATGTTCATAGGTTGAGGAAAAATAGATTGCTATCTTTAAAGAAACTAAATCTTATTTTACAGTTATATTTCTGATCTTTACTATAGAAGATAAATTGCTGAGTGCTTTGTATATTACATACATAATATACATATTATATATATATATACACACACACATATATATTGTGTTGAGTACCTGTATGCATATGGAGGTCAGAGAAATCCATGAGGTTTAGTGGCAAGTGTCTTAGCCTACTGAATCATTTCACCAGCTTTTGCCAAATGTTTTAAAGTCATCATATGTTTGGGTTCATCCTAGACTTACTGAAGAGTCACTAATTTAAATAAATGTATACATGGATTTTTAAATATACAAGAAACATTTTTTAATTAAAATAAAACCGGGTGAGTAGATCAGGGTGAAACATGGCATCCTCCCATAGAATTATTTTCATTGCTATTTCATGACTGTAATTCAGCTACTGTTTTGGATCATAATGCAAATATCTGGTATGTGACCATTGTGAAAGAGTTATTTGACCACCAAAGGGGTGGTTACCCACAGGTTGAGAATTGCTGATCTAGAAGAAAAGCTTCCAAAGACACCTGTGAGGAAGTATATAGATTTGGTGAGCTTCTTGATTATGCTTAGCATGCCTTTTCTCAGTTAGGTTAACTGATATGGAAAACCCACAACCATAAAGATGGGGGACATCATTTTCTGGGCTTAGTTCTTGGGCTCACACAGTGGAGGAAGCCAGCTGAGGACCAGCATCCAGCATGTCTGCTGTCCATGGTGTGGGGGGGGGGAGGGTGATGCTCCCACCAGCTATTAGGACTCGCCATCACCATGACTGCACTCTCAAACTGTGAGCCAGAACAAACCCTTCCTTCCCATAACTTGCTCTGCTCAGGGTATTATATCATAGCAATAGGGAAAATAAGTAAACGAGTAGTGTAGTCCCAAGCTTGACTGCAGCATCTTAGAAGGTTCTGCTGGTACCGAAGATGTTGAAGATCTTCCCCCTTACTTTCCAACCTGCTTTTTATCACCTTGCCGATCCCATCTGTTGGTTTGCTTAGGATATGACTCATTTGTGCTTTCGGTGATTTTCTTCCCTTATGTGTAGTTTTCAGATTGATTGAGTTGAAGTTAACACATGGAAATTGTACCAATACTTTGTGAGCTAACTATCATAACTATCACTTTACCTAGGTACATGCATGTGTGTTTTTAGTGTATGTACTGAACATATCTTTTCTCCTAGTAAATTTCAAGTACAAATTATGATATTATTAACCATCTTTACCACACTGCTGTAACTTAAGAGCCTAGCTGTTACTCATCCTGTGGCTTCCCGTTCTAATTTCCCTCTTGTTTTTCAGTAGCCACTTTTCCATTCTCTGTTTCTATGAATGCAGCCTTTTCAGGTTCTATATATAACTAAGATGATGTAGTATTTGTGTTCTTGTTTTTGGCTTGTTTCACTTTGCATAACGACTTCTACCATCTCAGTGAGATTCTCAGGACCACTGCAGCATTATTCAAGATAGCTAGAGCACACAGAAGTCTAATTGTCCACTGAGGGTAGGCTGCACAAAGAAGATAGATTATATACACAATGGAATATTATCCAGTTTAAAAAAAAAACAAAAAGCAAAAAGGAATCTTGCCATGTGTGTTGAAGACAAACACACATGCGATGTGAAATAGTATAAATATTAAAATATGAATAATATGCATATTTTCATTGTAATCACAAAGAATGGCAGAGAATGAAAATGGCTCGGTTCATGTATGTCTCATCAAGCCAAACACTACCACATGCCGGCCTTTGTTGGTGGCACCTTGCTAGAAAAGTTATCTTCTTGATGAATTAGGGTTTATCCACCCCAGATTTGTGTCTGGTCAATGAGAGACCTAGAACAGGAAGCTAGCTCTCTCCTCATATCTAAATAACTCTTGTGATTTGCGCTCAACAGTCTGGCTCTTCTTCATAGACAGAGTTGAATTGTCAGGGTATGATATTTGATTGAAACCAACAAGATGGGGTTGAATGAATAAAAGACTAAAGGAGAACATTCTGGAAAAGAGGAAGAGGAGGTGGGAACTTGCATATTATAGAGAAAAATAATCCTGCAGTAAGTAGCCAGAGAGTAAAGAGAAAAGAAGTTTAACTAGAAAAGGAAGATCCAGCCACCGGATGTCAACCCAGTTGTGCCATTGTTAGTGTGGATGTCCCGCATGCCATCTGATAGTCACAGAACGCGTACTTCTCAAAAGTTTCCTCAACAGCCCATCTGGAATCGAAGCCCATGTTAGGCTAACAAACAAGAGTAAACATGGTGGAGTAGATGTCTTAGAATCGTAATTTCCCAAGAAAAATATATCTGAGTATCACAGCTCAAAAGCTCCATGCTAAAGGAGGGTAAAAAGGCTGTGGTGCAGGGTGAGTCTGGCGTGTGGCCTTTGGAGCCAAGCAGAAAAGTTTGTGCTGCATAAATGAGCAGGAAAAAACCTCAACCTTTTTAAAGAGAAGATATTAGAGTGGAAGATACAGACATATATATACACCAGTTTCCCCTAGTTCCTCTCCTCCTCACCTCCCTTTCCCATCTACCTCCTTCCCCATACACTAGGGTTAAGTTCCCCCATGAAGATTTATGAATTAGATAATTGAAAAGCAAGACAAAATAATGAGAGCACCATTCACTTGCTTCAGAATGACCTCATCAAAGTCTGTTCTAAGACAGAGGATCGATGCCAGGACTATCCTTGCATCATGAAGCGTTCTGAAGGAGACAGTGTAAAAGGAAAATGTGGTACATTTACACAATGGGGTACTTACACAGCAGAAAAAAAAAACAACATCTTGAAATTTGAAGGCAAATGGATGGAGCTACAAAACATCATTTTGAGTGACGTAACCCAGATCCAGGAAAACAATTATTACACATACTCACTCATAAGTGGTTTTTAAACATAAAGCAAAGGAAGCCAGCCCACAAATCACAATCCCAGAGAACCTAGACAAGGAGGACCCTAAGAGACACATACATAGATCTAATCTACATGGGAAGTAGAAAAAGACCAGCTCTCCTGAGTAAACTGGGAGCATGGGGACCTTGGGAGAGGATTGGAGGGGAGGGGAGAGGCATGGAGGGGAGCAGAGAAAAATGTAGAGCTCAATAAAAATCAATTAAAAAAAGTATAACCCCAGACAGGTCGAGCTGTCACACACCTTTAATTCCAGCACTCAGGTGTCAGAGGCAGCCAGATCTCTGAGTTTGAGGCCAGCCTACTCTACAGAGCGAGTTCCAAAACACTAAGTACTGTTACATAAAGAAACCCTGTCTCGAAAAACCAAGGGAAGGGACAAACAAACAAACAAACAAACTAGACAGGATTGGGACTGGACTGGTTCTTACAAGCATGTATGCGTTCAGATGCTTTTCTGGTTTCTGCTCGAGCGGCTGAATCCACTGTTTCTAGCAGTGTTTCCTAATTTTCAGCTGTACCTAGAGGCTAGCTGTCAACAGTTCATGAAAGAAAACAAGTCACTTTGAGAAAACTAAGTCATATTTGTATTAGCTCTTGTCCTTGATAAAATTAATCTTATTGGCCACTTGCTCTCTATAGGGATAAACACCGTCTCCATTCATCTAGTACCAGAATGAAGCCTTTACTGCACTGTTATCCGATTAAGGCCAGGAGGGGAGTCAGAAAGCAATCAGGGCTTTGGAGGAAGCTCATGTAACTTGACCTTGTACTTTTCTCCAGGCAAGAGCATCCCCGAGACCTCCCGACTGTCACACATTTGCTAAGTGTGCGGTCTTAGCGCGGTGGTGGAATTAAAATTGTCAGGAGCTCGTCGAGGGAGCAAGCCAGGTGCCTCAGTTTACCCACCTTGCTGATTAACGAGCCTTGACTTCTTGCAGTAGTAAACGAGCTCCTGCTGGCAGTGCTCTGCGCGGTTAATGGAGGCCTGCAGCTGTTCCACGCTGGCCGCGTACTCAAAAGCCCCAGTGTGTGGGTTCTCGGAATGAGCGTTCCTGACTCTCACTAAGTCAGACCCGTTGTGCTGTATGATGGTCCATGCCGTTTCTTGTATGCAGAAATGGGGGAAGAAAGAGAGGAGACCATCACTAGTCTGCAAAAGTTAAAATAAATAAAGAAAATCAAAATCATCTTCTATCTGGGTTAAGTCTTTCCAGTCATCAAATCTCTCTGAGAGAGAATCAACACAAATGGATCCTCGAGTTTTTAAAATTGTAGCAAAATGACTCTCTTCCCTGAAATGTATCCTAACACCATGCATTTGCCGTGATTTTGCTTATGCCTTATGTTATTCAACCACAGCAATATTTGTGATGAAGTTATTAAATCAGAACTATTGAGTTTTCCTAGTCATGTTCATCTAGTAACTCCGACAGGCTAGCCTTTTAAAGGAACATCACTCCTTTTGATCTTCAAGAAAGAAAAAAAAATGCTACATGTTCTACATGTAAAACATTATTTGTTTATATACATAGAATTACATTACATCCTACAATGTGAAAAAGTGAATGTTACAATTAGAAAAAGAGCTTATACTGTCTGATGTAAAAATAAAATTGTTTACTCTTCCAAATATTCACGTTACCAGCAAAAATGAAATCAAAATTTTAAATCTCTCTTCAACCAATATGAGTATATATCTCATTCTTCCTTTAAAAAGTGTGTGTGTGTGTGAGAGAGAGAGAGAGAGAGAGAGAGAGAGAGAGAGAGAGAGAGACAGAGGTGTGTGTGTGTGTGTGAGAGAGAGAGGCATGTGTGTGTGCGTGAGTGTGAGAGAGACAGAGGTGTGTGTGTGTGTGTGTGTGTGTGTGTGCATATGAGTGTACGTATCTTGGATGCCACAAACGGGCATCAGATTCCCTGGAACTGGGATTATAGGCACTAGTGAATCAATGAATATGCCAAACTGGGGGAAAGTCATAATAAAGTGTAGAATCTCGCCCCCTGTTTATAATATAGTCACAGGAATCAGCAATAGAAACAAGACAAAGGCAACAAGTTTGGCAGTTTCTGCACCCATCACTCCTGGAATTACCAAATAAAACAGGTGAAATGAGACAGGAACAATTCAGTGTTCATGTCCCTCTGTTCGTGGGTCATTGTTTTCTGCAAAATGTCTGCTGGTCCTTTCATTTCTCCTTTACATTTCAGCTTGGGGTGCAATCAGTGGGCCTCTTCTCTCCAGAAGGGCATTATATACAAGCTAAGGAAATTAATTGTGGGTGGCCTTCAGAGCAGGGCTGAGGCCATCACATAGGGTTGTACAGCTGGCATAGGTCTGTGCCCTTCAGAAAGTGAAGAAAAAAAATAAAATCTAAGCCTTCCTTTCCAAGTTTGAAATGAATTGGCAGAACCAGTCAATAGGCTAGGTCAGAAATCCTACAGTTTTTGCTGACTCAACCATAGCTGTTGGAGGTTATTATTAAGCAAGCAACTCCAGTCACCCTGGCCTCCCTCAGACTGGGCTCTTGTTGTTCAACAAAACCAGTGGCCTTTTCTCGGGGTGAATCTGCTGCTATGCATGAAGAAGCTTAACTCTGGCTGTGTAGCTTTCAGAAGAGCAAGACAATGAACCGGCTTGGAGCCTTTGTCTCTGGGCCTTTGGGGTCGCATTAAGAAGGACCTTCATATAGTTCAGCTTCTCTGTTTGTTTGGTTTTTTTCTAAAGGGACTGAGAAAGGTTAAAGCCATCAGGCATGGCAGCCATTCAATGGCAGCTCTTATAAATGTTTCCTTTTGGAAATACTGAAGCCAGCAGATATTAGGAGAGGTTCTGTAAGCAGTTTTATATTCTGATACAAAATGCTACTAAGTGTACAGTTAAGGAGAAATCGTGCTTAGCAGACCACCTACATCTCCAAGGCAAAGGAGACATGAACTCATTGGAGATTTTCAGCAAAGGAAGTGAGGGTTCCTGCAGTTAGGTCTGGCCGGAATCACCTGTGTAGGTTTTAATAGGAGGATCCTGGGAAACTCTGAGCTTAGAGCCATCTTCCTTGTCATGCAGACATGATTGTGCTAGCTGAGGTTTCTGGCATGGCCTTAGAAATAATAATAAAAATGCAAGAACTGTGGTTTGCTTTATTGGGAACTTTCAGTCTGAGATCACCGACATTACTTAACATGCTAAATGTTCTGTCCCCAGCACACAGTCTGGCACATGCAAAAGGCATGTGCTGGGGAAATGAGGGAATCGCCAAATAAGGAAACAGAGGAATAAAAATGGTGTGATATCTAGGTTAGGGCACAGCCCAGGTCATCTCATTCTCTTATGCAGTGACTCTGAAACTTCCACTGCCATTGAAGTGGCTTGTAACTCTCCAACAGCAGAAAGGATGATAAACTACGGTAAAGTGTGAAACTGTGACAGGTCTGCTTTCAAGCCAACAAGTTATTTTGCCATATATGCAGATAGCACCTTCGTCTCTCAACTATCCATCTATGATCTTTCCAGTCATCATTTATCTACCTATCCTATGTCCATCTGCCATCTATCAACTACCTAACTTCTATAGATGTATCTGCATGTTATCATCTTTGTATCTATTACCTTTCCATCTTTTACCTATCATATATCCATCTACAAGCTGTACATCAACTATATATCTATTATTCATTCATCTATAATCTATCTGAAACCTATCCAACTATCGTTTACCTATTTACCACGTCTACATATTATATATCAATCCATTTATCTGCCAATCTATCTACTCATATATAATCTATCAATCATCCATTCATCAATGTCTATTATCTACTCATAACTTATTTACCTATCCTTTATCTATCACCTAGATAAAATTCATCTATAGACTTTCATCTATCTATCTATCTATCTATCTATCTATCTATCTATCTACTCATCCATAATATATAATGAATATATTCCATTTATCAACCGTCTATCCATCTATAAACTATCATCTATGTATCTATCTGTCACCAAGCATACATTCATTTCCCATCTATACATCTATCATCTATCTGTCACAGGCCATCCTTCCGTCACCTACCACCATCTACTTACCCATCTGCCTTTCCTAACTGACCTGGAAGTACTCCTTATTGGGGACCATTTCTTACAGGGACTCTTAGCAGCTTAGATTCCTCACACCCCAACTTCCCACACACCATGGCACTGAGTGCCATAGGCCCCTGTGTATGCTGCAGCTAAATCACAAGACAGGAGCCCAGACGTGAGAGGCGCATGTCGTCTGGGGGAAGTTACAAGTCCTTTGATATCAATTACGCCTAAGAGTGGGCAGCAGACAAGCCTTTAAATGTCTCTAGAGCAGTTTCCTATCTGGAACTTCCAAGACAAGCCTACCTTTGACCACTTTTCAACCTCCTAGTCGTTCTGTGTATGTGTGTTGTTTCGTTTAACTGTTGTACTTGTTGCCAGTTTATCTAACGTTCTTAGAAAGAATAACATTGTTTCCTTGCAGGTTATTCGTAAGTCCTGTGGCTAGACAAGCAACTACCATTTGATTGACAATCTATTGACTTGCCTCCCCTGCAGGGAAAGAAACCAATGTGGCCTCCCCTTACGCAATAATATAAATATTTCTAATGTGTGCGAGTGTCTGTTATTCGATTTCTCTTTTGAACCAGCTTTAACAGGGAACTCATCTCTTCGCTAATAACATGTTCAACAAAATCTCTAAAATCTGCTCCTAAGTATTTACCTTAATGTCTATTTTAGAGTTAAGCTTTTCATTTCTGAAAAATTATTCCTTGCTAAATGCAACTAGAGTTATGGAGTAAGGAGACGCAGGCCAATAATGAACAAGAAGAGACTGCTGAAACGGGCAGAAAAATCTACGGACTTAAAATAAAAAATAGAATGGTAATTTGAGTTTGCCAGTGTCTCTCCCTGCAGAGATTGCTAATACTATGAATTGTAAATAAAGCAACTGAGTAATTAAGGCCTTGATTTACCTGCGGCTGGCTGCTATTTTTTAGGGTGATAACAGTATAAAGAAAAAAACCTGCTGTTTAAGCAACACAGTTGCAAAGCTGTGGTGCCTCGTGTTTAATAGTGGAGGGTGATAGATGTGCTAAAGACTGGAAAGAGCAGGTAGGGAGTAGAGCATTCTGGAAAACAAGAGGGAAGAAAAGCAGGGCCCGTTAGTGCACGGGGTACAGCCTGAATGTATGCACAGCTAGCTGCCTTCTAGCAAAGGCGCCCTGTTAACCTACGTGGCTCCTAACAACCCTAACTTACATGGCTCCTAACAAACCTTGAAGCCCGAATTCTCCAAAGTAAAAACAATTATGCTACTTTTGTAAGACCTAGCACCCTTGTCTTATTGTTAGAATAGCTCTGAGAGCCCATTAAATGAAAGTTGTTTTCTAGTCAAAGGAATGGAAGTCTCCTCCCTTAAGAGTTCATCTGGTTGGGCATAGCCAAGAAGACCTGTTTATGTTAAGTCATGCTAATGAGATAGGATGAACAATTATCTCTTTAACGGATAAGGTACTTTTCCTTCCCAGGATTCCCACCCACTAGTCCTGTCCCTATGAGGCACCATGAGGTTCTGTTGGGTCTGCCCAGGTTTCTGTGTCCTGACTCAGAAAAACGTCACTTCCTCTCTTTCCTTTCTTCTGGATCCTCTTTCAGATGCCAGCCAGAGCCTGCCTGTGCTGTGCTGCCTTTGGTACTTTGAACTTTTTCTTCAGAATCTGAAGCTCTCCTCCCTGTCATGCAGTCTACCTCCATGCCTAGCTCAAACGATGTGGCTCTCATTCTCTCTACTAAGGTCTCATCTATGCATCTGTGATAAAGCTCACCCTAAAACTCCCACTCTGCCTGAGAATCTCATTCTGTGAATTTACAAAAATCTGAAAGTCACAGGCTTGGGAGAGCTTTGGAAGCCATCAAATTTTTTTTTGGAACACAAGCTTCCCCAGAAAGACTCGTTTTTCTCCAAGAAACCTTGATATCTCCACATCATTATGATAAAATTACACGGATCTGCCTGTAGAAAGGCAGAGATTCAAGCCCAGAAAGCCCTGACAGTACAGGAGGGAGTGGGGAGTTGAAG